CTGGTGCACACAGGCTTTCTGGAAGCATCTGTCAGGCTGTCCAAAAGCAGATTGTTGGACTAGTTTTTTTTGGTTCGATTCAGCAGGAACGGTTTTCTGACCTTGCCAGCTCTTGTACATTAGAAGCCAAATTGCTTTTCCTTTCAAGTACTATTGGAAGGATTAATATTTGTATGAAAGGTCTTGGTTAGCCCAAACATTTATCTCCCCTTTCTCTTTCTCCGTCTATCTAGACATTAGAGACAATTGTTGGGATTTCTCCTTTGCTGACAGCAGTTTAATTGTGTGTACTTTTTGGCACACTGGAAGGTCTTCTCTGCAGATACCGTGTGCTTTGGCAAAATGGGCAGTCTGGACTGCAGGATAAGGCATCTATCAGGGATGCAAAACCTACCAATTCCTGGAATACATCTCTGGGGTGTGGTGGGTTTGCTCATTAGAGCTCTTTCAAACTGTGCCTGAGACACAGCTTCATTATAGGATGCTTTTCAAGTCAGCTTGCTTTAAAGCAGTGACAGCCAGAACTGGGCCCCTCAAAGGCCAGCCCATTTCAATCAAATGAAAACTAAAGTATGCTTAGAAATTGAAGTGGATGTTGCTTGATAGGATTAGAAGCCTGGTAGCCTGCACCCGCCTGCCTGAATTTCTATTGCCCTTCTCCTAATAGAGGAGATAAATCATAATATAAATACTGTTCTTCCTGGATGCTTATGAATTATTTAAAACAGGGGTGTCAAACTTGCAGCCTGCGGGCCGGATGTGTCATGCGCTGGCCATGCTCACGCCCAGTTTAGCGAAGGGAAAAAAATCATGATCTGTCACATGACAATGCCATGAGTTTGACACCACTGATTTAAAACATCTAAAAGTTCTACAAAATGTACAGTATAAAATACAAGATGATATAAGTAGAATTGAGTTACAGTACAGAGTTCAAAAGATTCTGACATTTTTTTTAGAGTTGTGAGGAGTAAATGCCTTGATTTTAAAACAGAAAGAGGGAGCACATGTATTCAGGCACACCAGACTCAGACTACATTAAGAACAGTAAATTGCTTAAGATAGAAAAAATAAAAATAATGAGTTCACAAGAAACACATACAGGTAATCATTGGCTTACATCAATTCATAGAATAGAACAGAATTCTTTATTGGCCAAGTGTAATTGGACACACAAGGAATTTGTCTTGGTGCAAATGCTCTCAGTATACTTAAAAGAAAAGATACATTCGTTTAGTGACTGTTCAAAGTTACGGCACTGAAAAAAGTGACATGACCATTTTTCACAGTTGGAAAACCTTTGGAACATCCCCATGATCATGTGATTAAAATTCAGATGCTTGGCAACTGGTTCATACTGACGACTATTGCTGTGTCCCAAAGTCATGTGATCACCTTCTGCGACCTCCTGACAAGCAAAGCCAATGGGAGCCAGATTCACTTAACTACTAACTGCAGTGATTCACTTAACAACTGGGGCAAGAAAGGTCGTAGAATGGGGTAAAACTCACTTAACAAATGTCTCATTTAGCAACAGACATTTTGGGCTCAATTGTGGTTGTAAGTCGGGGATTATCTGTTTTAATAAATTTAATTATGTCCAATGGACCATAAAAAGGACTATTCAAACTGTAATTTAAATATTACCTTATTGATGAGAGGAGTGGCATGTACATTTAATAAATAAATAATTCTACATAAAAATAAGCTTTATCAAATGGGAATACCAGCACTGATTCTGCAAGCAATTTTTTCAATATTTTGACAAACATAAAATCTCATAGAGCATCAAGTCAGTTTGTAATAAGGCCACCAGGTCTGATCACAGGTGAGATTGCTGATCTGGCATACATTATTGAAATCCAGCTTGGCTCAAGAGGATGGAGTCCCCTCTCATTTGCCTGACTGGGTTTCAGGTATTACATCAGGGAAAGCGTGGAGATATGGCATTCATCATTGGAGATAAATGGGTGTGTGACAGAGGTGGTATTCAGCAGGTTCTGACCAGTTCTGGAGAACCGGTAGCAGAAATTTTGAGTAGTTCAGGGAACCGGCAAATACCACCTCTGACTGGCCCCACCCCCATTTTTCTCTGCTGATTGGCTGGGTCTTCTTTTGTTGCCCTGCACAGGAGAACGGAGTTGGAAAGCAGGTTAGTGGGGTGGGGAGGGAATGGGATTTTGCAGTAACCTTCCCCTGCCATGCCCACCAAACCACGCCCACCAAGCCACACCATGCCCACCAAGCCACACCCACAGAACCAGTAGTAAAAAAAAACCTGAATTCTACCACTGGTGTGTGACCCTGTTTGTTAACTTGGACTCTAGATTCAGTTTGAACTTTTGTTACTGTACCAGCCTCTGGCTTTGTAGCATCCTCTTTGGCCAAGTTCCTTGATTCTGTTGCCAAGTTACTTCCCAAAACCTTGCTTTATCTGGTTATGCAGTAGCTCATGGACAACATGACACTATGTGCCTGTCCCAGGTCATCCAGGGCACTACACATATGCCTGGCCTAGTTTTATTCTCAGAGCAAGTATAATCTGATACTGTGGGAGATTCTGTTTCTCTCCCATGTTGTTGTCAGATCACTTTCTGGTGGTCTTCAGGTCTCTGGTGCTGCCTTCAACTATAGGGATGCTGGATTTATTAGCTCAGTCCACACTAGGTAGCTGATGGATCCAGTTTGAATGAGTGGGAAGCTGGGGTTCTGGATTATGTTGCATTCAAATGGCATCTCCTCCTGCAGGGCTCCTCAAACTCCCCCTGGTTTACAAAGGAGTTGAGGGGGATGAAGTAGATAAGGAGAAATGGTGGAGGAAGACAAATGGTGAACCTTACCAAACATGGATTGAAGCTGTTTTAAGGGCTTACCTCATGGTAACAAAGCCAGCCAAAGATTCTTACTACATCCTTCCACAGGCCGAGCCCTCCTAGAAAGGGTGGCTCAGGTTTACCTACAAAGTCATTTAAGGAATTTGAACGGCAACTGATGGATAAAAAAAATAAATCCTAAGATTCACTCTAAGTTGGACTCTAGCCTTAGGGAAGGTTAACAGTTAACTGTGGTTTGTTGATTAAACCAGAGTCAGTTCATTTCAGATAATATGCAAAGTGTTAACCAGCTTTAATAATCATAGATTGAAACTACAGCATCCATCTTCTTCAAAATTATTGATATGGTTCCAAAAGATGTTAAACGAGAAACATTATTTATAAACTGTATTGGCTTGATTCACAGAACATACTAAGATACAGATAATTCTAGACCTAGAAAACCTTGAATTACGCCGTCTTCGGTCTGATCTAAATGTGGTATATAAAATCATACATTGCAATGACTTACCTGTCAATGAATACTTCAGCTTCAACCATAACAACACAAGAGCACACAATAGATACAAACTCAAGGTTAACCGCACCAAATTTGATTGCAGGAAATACGACTTCAGCAACAGAGTGGTCAATGTCTGGAATACTCTACCTGACTCTGTGGTTTCTTCCCCAAACCCCAGAAACTTTAACCTTAGACTTTCTACTATTGACCTCACCCCTTTCCTAAGAGGTCTGTAGGGGGCGTGCATAAGGGCACCAACGTGCCTACCTACCGTCCCTGTCCTATTGTTTCTTTTATTTTTCTTATATGTACCCATTGCATGTATTCATAACTATGTATATACTTATACCTATTATCTTGTAAGCGATTGACAAATCAAAATAAATAAATAGAAAAATAAAATAAATGTTTTGGGTAAACCCAGTGATATGGAGATATTGATATGGGTAATTTTTCACAAAGAGATTAAGTAAAAGCAATACAGTTGCTCCAGTTAGTGGGACTATTTCATCTCAATGTTATCAATCTGGAGTCAAGGGCAAATGGTAGTGGTGCCATGAACTAAGAATTTGGAACACAGATCTCTCAATTTGAAATGGCTTACCCGAGTACTTCTACTTTACCTTTCTAAATCTAGATGAAAATGAGTTTTGTCCCCGTTTTCCTGACCAATTTCTACCTTCCGTAGAGTTAGGGTTTTCTTCCAAGTAGACAAGTATAGGATTGCACTGTTAATGTATTAATTGGATAGCCGTTGCAGCTTTCCCAATCTCATAACTCTTAAGAAGCAGTGATACGTGGTAGAAACAAAGCCATGTGTACACAGGGATAGAGTCATAAATTGCCCAGTTGAGCACTTTTCAGTCTTTAAAACTTTCCCCAAGGCAAGAGTTCAGATGCAGATTTTGTGTCAAATTGCCATCAAAGACTTCTTGGAATTGGCTGTGTTAAATCTGTCTGCCACATGTGTCTGTGTGTAGGTTGTAAGGCTCACTTTTTGAGTTAACTGCTGCTGAAGCAACTAACAGTTCTCAGCTGTTCTTGGCACAGCTTTCAAGGTATGTAGTCTGGGGAATGTCCTCTTATTAGGAAATATAAGTTTTTTTCTAGGGTTAAAAAAGAATGAGAAGCTGATTTTATTCCCCTGTGTATAAGAATTAGCCTCTGCATTTTCTTAACTCACGTTTTACATGTTTCTTGTTTTACATTTTTGCCTACTGTGATTTCAGTTTATGTAATAGGTTTGTTTAGTGAATTTATTACTGTGAAATCAGAGAGTAAACTGATTTGGAAGTATTCTATTAATTAGTATTGCTTTAGCCGGCGCATGTGAGCATTTCATATCATTCTTGGATAGACAAAGAGAGGGGAATACTTCTTCAAAAGCAGCACCGATAAAGCACTTCTAGACATTTCACAGCTAATTTCAAGCATTTGATTAATTCAAATTAGCCAAACAGTTGTGCTTTATTCTCTTTAAGTGTCTTTAGTATAGTGAAATTCAGGTTTCATTCTTTTGTCTTGTTTTCAATAAAATGAAAAATTAAACATTGTCTGTGATTATTTTAGGTTCATAAAGCAGAGGAAGCAAGAAGGTGTCTCCAAACCGATAGCATTAACCAAATCAAACATTGGCTCAAGAGAAAAAGTGTGCACATCCTAAAATGACTCCTTTGTGCATGCAGTTCTACTTTAGTGGCTTAATCTTCTGGATGATACAGAAATCAAGCTTCTTCATGCTGCCCAATACTACTGACCTTCTTTACCCCTCCAGCAGCCCTGACACCAGACACATTTCTATCCATGGAGTATCAAAGATTCGCAGGAAACGTTACGTTTTTTCCAGAGAAATGAGTGTCCTTTTGGGCTATCACAATCAAGTTCGGGCACAAGTTTCTCCTCCAGCTGCCAACATGGAGTATATGGTAAGTACTTGCTACTTGGGGTTGAAAACAACACATTGACACTGAGAAAACATGAACTGTAAATTGATTGTTTGGTGGACAGCTCCCTTGAGGTGTAGTGGAAAAGTTCTGCCAATTCCCCAAAGCTTTATTTTTTAAGTTGGACAAGCTATTTTAATAACCTAAACAAAATATACCAGTCTATACATGCTCACACACCCGGTTATCTACATTCATTACCAGAAGAGTGTCCTGATACTCTACTGTAGCTTGGATAATTATCGCCCTGCATCATTTAGCAGAACATGATGCCTCTGCTAAAGAACAGTGGATGCAGAATTTTGCCAAAATTCCTCATATACCTTGGTGCAATAGTGCAGTACTTGGTAAAGATGATACTTGGTGAAGTATCATTTCTCAACTTTTATTTGTCGACCTATAATGTAATAAAATTATAACAGCTTCCTTCCCATTGTGAATAAGTTTAACTGTTCCAGTGGAAGCAGTTCCTTATGTTTCTATGTACCTAAATATCGCATGGTTTCTGGCTGGGACAACTTGATCTTTGGAGAAAGAAAAAAGTGGTGTAACTGGTTCATGCAATATACAAACGCTTTGTTTTAATTTAGAGAATTGCACGAAACCCAATTTGTCAAATAGGCTGCATTATCAAAGGGATAGAATCAAGATCACGTGAAGTGTTAATATCATTTTATAATGCCTTGATAAGACCACACTTGGAATATTGCATCCAGTTTTCGTCACCACAATGTAAAAAAGATGTGGAGACTCTAGAAAGAATGCAGAGAAGAGTGACAAAGATGACTAGGGGACTGAAAGCTAAAGCATATAAAGAATGGTTGCTGGAATTAGGCATGTCTAGTTTAATGAAAAGAAGGATTAGGGGTGACATGATAGCTGTGTTCCAATATCTCAGGAGTTGCCACAAAGCAGTGGGAGTCAATTTTCCAAAGAACATGAAGGCACGACAAGAAGCAATGGATGGAAACTAATCAAGGAGAGAAGCAACTTAAAAATTTCCTGACAGTTAAAACAATTAATCAGTGGAACAACTTGCCTCCAGAAATTGTGAATTCTCCAATACTGGAAGTTTTAAAGAAAAGATTGGACAACCATTTGTCTGAAATGGTATAGGGTTTCCTGCCTGAGCAGGGGGATGGACTAGAACAGGGGTCCCCAACCACCGGTCCGCGGACCGGGACCGGTCCGCGGAACAACTCCTACCGGTCCGCGGCTTGCTGGGCGCCGCCATCTTTTTTTCATGAAAAAGTGCTTCCGGTGAGCTTTTCCGGGTAGAAAGCTCACCGGAAGCACGTTTTCATCAAAAAAAGATGGCGGCGCCAGCGCTTCCGGTGAGCTTTTCCGGGTAGAAAGCTCACCGGAAGCACGTTTTCATCAAAAAAAGATGGCGGCGCCCAGCTGATGCCGGTACCGGGCCGCGGCGCCCAGCTGATGCCGGTACCGGGCCGCGGCGTCAAAAAGGTTGGGGATCACTGGACTAGAAGACCTCCAATGACCCTTCTAACTTCTATTCTATTCCATCCCATCCCACCCCAAATATGAGCACTCCATCAGCATACTTAAGGTGGTTTTTTTAAAGTTATGTTTGTGTAAAAATGTTGTGTTACATAAGTAGTTAAGTAGCAAGGGAAATTTCTGAAGATACATGAGCTGTATATCATCTTTTTCAGTAATCATTTGGGAGTTATGTTTTTGAAAAATTCTTACCTTAGAGAAACCTTATAAGTATTTTTGAAACTTTTAAGTAATATGGCAAAGCAATGATTATTCAGTTTAATGTTTTAAAATCAAATTTGAAAGTACACGTCCTATTTTTTGTTTGAGTATGCTTTAATATCTGGCACTGGATTCATAGATTCCATATTTATGAGTCTGGAAGTAGTGATGAGGAATAGCTGTAAAATGAGCTGGAGGTAGAATAACAGGTGTTCTTACAAAAGGGCCACATTAATTTAAAGGCGTATGCATGATGCTCAGGTAATATTGGGGACAATAATTGCATATTTTGGTGACCTCTAATATGGTACGATAGCCTTGGTGCTAGGGAGGAAAAAGAAGGAAAGGTCCTTTTCTCTCAAACATAAAGTCTGCTTGCATTAAGAAAGTATGCTAAATAGATGTCCAGGCATACTCAATTTTAGCTAGATGATTTAAAATCCATTAAAATTATATTTAATTTTCTGCCCTCAGCCTGAAATGAAGCAATTGAAATTGAATTATATTACTTACTATAGCTGATGCTTCAGAATAAGAGATAGGCAACCTACTACCAGCAATTCTCAGCATAATATTCAAAATGTCTCTGTAAGCAAGCAATCCAAATCCAAATCTCTTGTCATCCAGGTAGGTAGGTAGCCGGTAGGTAGGTAGGTAAGCAGGCAGGCAGGATCCTATGAATCCTTCTAATAGTGGTACTCTCTATCCCACATAGTTCTAACTTATCAAGAAGAAAGCTGTGATCTACTTTGTCAAATGCCTTAATGAAGTCCAAGCATTTCCCTGATTCACTAATTTATCAAGGTTCTTCAGAAATAAATCTTTATTGTTGAGAGCCTTTGTATATATCAATGTTTTCCAGAAGTTAGTTAGTTAGTTAGTTAGTTAGTTCTGGGTCAGCCAACTGCAAATAGTGGCCAAGTTATACCCAAAGAAATATAGACTCCAAAAGAGAAGAAAAAATCTTACTCATACTAACATTGCCTTCCAGGCCATATTTAATTTATATTTCCCATATTTCCTTTGTCCTGCAGCATGCATGAAGTCTAAAGTAGGGTGATGAATCATCTACATTATAATCAACTGCCTGTTGTATGTTGCTTTTTTATTATTCTTATTTTTCCTCATTTCTCATGGAAGGTATGGGATGAGAGGTTAGCCAGATCTGCAGAAGCATGGGCAAAACGGTGCCTATGGGAACATGGACCTCCCCAACTGATGACATTTATTGGGCAAAACCTTGCCATACACTCTGGCAGGTAAGGAGTGTCTTTCAGCAATGCGTTGATGTTTTGTGATGTCAAATGGAGCCAGTTTTTTTTACAGAATTCCAGAGAAGTTGCTTCATTAAAAAAAAATCAGATGAACAAGGTAATCCACGTCTATTCAGTCCTATGTAAATTTAGCAAATAAATCAATTATGGTGTTCTGACTATGCATTTCTTTATGATCTCAGTATACATAAAGGTGCTGTGGCTGCATAGAACACACAGTGCAGTCTTTAAGATTTTTTTGTGGGAAGCATAGCTATAGTATTCACACTCCTCTGCACATTTCCAGCTGTTCCTTTTCCTTTCCATGGCATCATAAAAAGCAGTTTGTGAATTCTTCAGTGTTTATATTAAGCAAAGGACTTTTTTTTTATTTTCCCCATCTAAGACAGCAGATGTGGCATATTGCCTTTCCTAATTTTTGGGAGGTGTAGAGGTGGGAGGGGGAGAAGATTTATTTTTTAAAAAAGGAAAGCTTACAAATAAGAAATTGTAAATTATAAATGCCTACAACATTGTAGAAGTGAATCTTAATAAAACTATTTTCTGTTTTAAGTACTTTCTATAAATTCTTTAATGTCTGCTTTGTACTTCTGTAAAAATTTTTTGCTTTTTTTCATCATTTTTCCTTGCCTGTTCCTGGCTGGACTTCTGGACTCTTCTTGTCTTCTTCCAAATCTTTGTTCCAGCTGAGGGAAACCATTGAAGAACTTTTGCCTCATGTCATTCTGAGGGAAAGAAATAAACTCCTCTCTCTTCCCATTTTTCTTAGCTGCAGCCTCTTTTCCTATTATTTTCATTTGCCTCTTTACTTTCACTCCTGGGCTTTGGCTCTTATTATTCAGCCTCTCCTTTGCAAGGCCTCTGACTGCACAGCTGCCCAGAAGCCATCTTGTCTCCCCCCACCCAATTACAACTTCTGTCCAATACTGCTATCCTATCCTATCCTATCCTATCCTATCCTATCCTATCCTATCCTATCCTATCCTATCCTATCTATCTATCTATCTATCTATCTATCTATCTATCTATCTATCTA